GTTAAAACACTGCGTTTTTAGCTCTTCTTTTGATTGTAAGTCGAGTTTTAGTTAAAAAATAAAAAAATCCTAAGACAGAAAGTTCAAATTTACTGTAATATTTCTAAAAATCAAAAAATTTAACCTTATTTTTAATTTTCGGGGCCTCTTAAAATCAGTTGTTTGGTTCTCGTGAACCCTTTTTGAAATCCGAAATTGATCTCATTTGGAAGGAAATGTACACAAAGTGGAGCAAAGGCAGTGCAAGAATAGCATTTGAGGTAAACAAAATCACTTATTACATTTTATTTTGACGAGTATTTACTCTCCAATTACTTTTGTTTATTTTCAAATTTTACCCGTTACCCCCGGGCCGGCCCAGGACTCCCGCGCGGCCACGTTCGAACGCGTTCTGTAACCCGATACCTCCCTAGTAATGCGACTTTAGCCTAGCAACCGACCGCCGTGATTTGATTGTACAGCTTCAATTCCAATGTATAGATAGAGAGGACATGTCTTACAAAAACAAACAACATATTCATAGCATGTTTATGGAAATAAGCACCCCAGCAGTAGCTTCCCTTAAATGCCTCATCTTTAATTAAGGAAACTATGCGGAAGAAATGAGTCAAGATTGCAAACAAAAATTGGGGACATGGGGACAGCATACATGTATCTAGCAAGAAGACAGAACTGAAGAAAACTGTCCAACTGAAGAAAACTGTGCAGCTGAAGAAAATTGTGCAGTGTAGAAAATTGTGCAGCTGAAGAAAATTGTGCAGTGAAGAAATTGTGAAGAAAATTTTGCAGCTGAAGAAAATTGTGCAGCTGAAGAAAATTGTGCAGTGAAGAAATTGTGAAGAAAATTGTGCAGCTGAAGAAAATTGTGCAGCTGAAGAAAACTGTGCGGCTGAAGAAGACTGTGCAGCTGAAGGAAACTTTGCAGCTGAAGGAAACTGTGCAGCTGAAGGAAACTGTGCAGCTGAAGGAAACTGTGCAGCTGAAGAAATTTCCAGTGACAGTGGGGAAGTGTTGATCTGATCACCTGTTCTTTGCCAGTACGTGTTACAGTCATGTTCCATGCCTCCCTCCCACTGAGCCTTCCCAGTCTCGTCATAAAGCGTGCCATCAGTTGGGTGAGCACAGTAACAGTAGCCGGTGGACCCGTGGCACTGGGTTGTCTTGAAGGATCCATCTTCCTCACATTGTGGGATGTAAGCTCCAGGAATGGGCTCCGTGGTCTCTACTAACGTCTGACATTTGGTCTTTACTTGTCCTGTATGCATGCATTAGTATAGAGGTTTGAAACAACATGATATCAACATTCATTTGCTGTTAAAGTACATGTACAGTCAGAACTGATCAGTTAAGGCTGTACCTTGTTTGGAGATCTCTCAACTATAACTGTTGTATAAAATATTGCTTTAACACACCAACACTCATACACACTCCCTCAAAATAGGGGACCATTCAAGATACGCTTAAAATCGTATTCAGCCTGAAATTGTTGCAGTCTTGGTCATTTTGAACTGTACACGAATCAGACATACCAACAGTTTGCCAGTACGTATCACAGTTGTGTTCCATGCCCCCCTCCCACTGAGCCTTTCCAGTCTCATCATAAAGCGTGCCGTCAGTCGGGTGTGCACAGTAACAGTAGCCGGTGGACCCGTGGCACTGGGTTGTCTTGAAGGAACCATCTTCCTCACATTGTGGGATGTAAGCTCCAGGAATGGGCTCTGTAGTCTCTACTAACGTCTGACATTTGGTCTTTACTTGTCCTGTGTGCATGCATTAGTACAGAGGTTTGATCACACATTGCATCAAGACTGGTTTGTTGATGTTGATGTACATGTACAGTCAGAAACTAATCAGTTAAATACTGTACCTCGTTTGGCAATCTCTCTACCACAACTGTTGCATAGAATACTGCTTTAACAAACTAACATTCATACACACTCCTTTAATATAGAAGTCTCAGACCTTTTAAGATATGCTTAATATCATAGTCAGTCTTTGTCAACTAACATTGTGCAGTCTTGGTCATTTTGAACTGTACACGAATCAGACATACCAACAGTTTGCCAGTACGTATCGCAGTTATGTTCCATGCCCCCCTCCCATTGAGCCTTGCCAGTCTCGTCATAAAGTGTGCCGTCAGTTGGGTGAGCACAGTAACAGTAGCCAGTGGACCCGTGGCACTGGGTTGTCTTGAAGGAACCATCTTCCTCACATTGTGGGATGTAAGCTCCAGGAATGGGCTCCGTGGTCTCTACTAACGTCTGACATTTGGTCTTTACTTGTCCTGTGTGCATGCATTAGTACAGAGGTTTGATCACACATTGCATCAATACTGGTCTGTTGATGTTGAGTACATGTACAGTCAGAAACTAATCAGTTAAATACTGTACCTCGTTTGGCAATCTCTCTACCACAACTGTTGCATAGAATACTGCTTTAACAAACTAACATTCATACACACTCCTTTAATATAGAAGTCTCAGACCTTTTAAGATATGCTTAACATTGTAGTCAGTCTTCGTCAACTAACATTGTTGCAGTCTTGGTCATTTTGAACTGTACACGAATCAGACATACCAACAGTTTGCCAGTACGTATCGCAGTCGTGTTCCATGCCCCCCTCCCATTGAGCCTTGCCAGTCTCCCTGAAAAGCGTGCCGTCAGTCGGGTGAGCACAGTAACAGTAGCCGGTGGACCCGTGGCACTGGGTTGTCTTGAAGGAACCATCTTCCTCACATTGTGGGATGTAAGCTCCAGGAATGGGCTCTGTGGTCTCTACTAACGTCTGACATTTGGTCTTTTCCTGTCCTGTTTGGGTTGTAGTTATAGCAGTATAATTAGAAAACTACTTTCAAGTGAATTAAAAATCTTTCCTTTAAAGTATATTTGAGGAAAGACGTGTAGTCTTGTACACTGTACTTTTGGAACCCACTGTAGACTCATAATGAAACACAAGTAATCACCTGCAGTTTGCCAGTAACTGTTACAGTCATGTTCCTCTCCCTCCTCCCATGGACGTTTGCCAGTCTCTTCATAAAGTGTGCCATCAGTTGGGTGAGCACAGTAACAGTAGCCGGTGGACCCGTGGCACTGGGTTGTCTTGAAGGAACCATCTTCCTCACATTGTGGGATGTAAGCTCCAGGAATGGGCTCTGTGGTCTCTACTAACGTCTGACATTTGGTCTTTACTTGTCCTGTTTATAAGCAGTTATGCAGTGAAAATTATACTTGCATCCACCAGTAATAGGGGTCCCCAGATCATTTCTTCACAATTGTAATTTAAAAATGTTCTGCTATTTGAAAAACACCTCGGATAGGAGTGGTACATTACAGCATTTCATTGACGTCTATTCCAAAGTTTCTTGATAGCAAATAAACTTGCCAACAAGTGGGAGAACCTTCTATTGAGCTGGTTAGAAAAATGATTACAACTGTGTTCGGCAAAAGTTTGTGTTCTGCACCATTTCAGAATCGGATGTAAAAGTCAAACTTGGGAAGAAGGTACATAGCTTTACAGTGTGGTTATCACTAGGCATAGATAGATCATCACCTGCTGTTTGCCAGTATGTATCACAGTTGTGTGGGATGGATCTCCCCTCCCACAAGCGAATGCCAGTCTCTTCATAAAGTGTGCCGTCAGTCGGGTGTGCACAGTAACAGTAGCCGGTGGACCCGTGACACTGGGTTGTCTTGAAGGAACCATCTTCCTCACATTGTGGGATGTAAGCTCCAGGAATGGGCTCCGTGGTCTCTACTAACGTCTGACATTTGGTCTTTTCTCCCCCTATTTTATAGGCAGCAGTAGCAGGTACATGTAGTTATGATTGAAATTGGTGGGTGGTACCCAGATCACCATTTAGAATGTTCGAGACTGCCAATTATATGCTCCCAAAAACTTAACATTAGACTACTAGTATGCACAGACCATTTTCACGTAACAAACATTTGTACATTGTATTTCAACAATTAGCAACTAGCCATAAATTCACGTACAACAGTGTACTGGAATCTCTATGTACTTCTATCTTTCTCAATCAAAAATTAATATGCCGTTAATTAAAATGACCTGGCAACCTCCAATTCTGATTTTACATCAGAATGATTATGAGTTGTGTTTAAGTCTGGTGCTATTTACATGTACATGAGAGTCAGTGAGAGTAGAAGACAAATTTTGGAAAAAAATGTGCAGATGAAACAAGATAAATAAATATATAGCTCTGAAATCTGAACATAAGCAGCTTATATACATGTATAATTCACATTATTTAATTATCTTATTTCATTCCATTCGACTTCTCCATTGCACGATGGAGGGGAGACAAAATAGGCACTTGCTAGTTGTCTCCCCCCATGTATTTTCGATTTAACCTGGAATGATAATGAAGAGCCATTACCTGCAGTTTGCCAGTATATGTTACAGTCGTGTTCTTCCCCCTCCTCCCAAGATCGCCTGCCAGTTTCCTCGTAAAGCGTGCCGTCAGTTGGGTGAGCACAGTAACAGTAGCCGGTGGAGCCGTGACACTGGGTTGTTTTGAAGGAACCATCTTCCTCACATTGTGGGATGTAAGCTCCAGGAATGGGATCTGTGGTCTCTACTAACATCTGACATTTTGTCATTTCTCCTGTAGAGAAGGCCAGAAAATATTTCTTCTTACAAACAACTACTAGTACAATGTACGACATGTATGGTCAATCAAAAAACAGTAAAACATACAGTGTTCATGTACATGTATATGCCCCCACAGATAGATGTCATCTGGTAAAATGAGCTATCAGATAACCCCATCAGAACCACAGATTTTAGCAGAATGACAGGCTACAGGAGCTGTTATGTGTTATTTACTTCTCAGAGTCAGATGTGGACTACAGTATACACAAAATATGTTATTCTATACATAAAATTTGGTGTGTTAAAAAGAAGAATTTGCCAATAAAAACAATTACCATGAAATGTGCATGCTAACCACTCATCCATGATTCCATCCCTATTACTTTCTTTCTCTTCACTGCTATGATCAATGAGGAACTTTGCTCCTATAATTTACAGACCAAGGAAATTTTTGCCTCCAGACATATGCTGGTTGATGAGTTCTACTGCCCCCTAGGATAAGAAGTTGAAGGACAAGGTCAAGAGGTCAGCATTGGCATATGCCAGACTTCTGTGTGAACCAGTTCTGCAACCCAACAACTTTATGTCTGCCTGTTCTGTCTCTGCCCACCATGTCCCTAGGAAAGGCCTACTGGCTCAAACAGAGGATTTGATTCTGAACATGTACCGAGGGGCAGCCAACTCGCCCACATGAGATAGTAACTGAGGTGAACAAATCTCGGCCTTGTGGTCAAATCCGGCATACTTGTACCTCGTCCAAAAATAGAAGACTGACTGCCAAAAGCTAAGGACATCCTGGCAACAACGAGTTGTCAAACATACATGTAACTTCTGAATATGCCAAGAAAATCTCCAATACCTGCCTCAATGTACATTTGTATGACGGACATCGACACAATTAGCCAAATGTCAGGTACATTGTATTATTGCTACCATGTGCTGTTCCTAGCTGTGACTGAAGCTTCCCCTCACATTAGACTAAATTGGACTTGATACTGTCCGACAGTGGGAGAGGTGTCACAAGTGCACACTTACTGGAGATGTAATGTCCCAATAATTGAAGTAACTACACTTAGTCTAGTACTGTCTCTTAAGTCATTTTACAAAGAAATCAACTTTCATTTGAGTCTGCCCACTCTAGCTTTCATCACAATAATTAGTTTTATAGGTATTATCATGCATATTTTGTATGGAAGGGAGTAAATATGTGACCAACTTGTTGAATCAGATGTAATTAAGACAATGGGATTCTCACTACTGAATTCACTGCATCGAAGTTAGAAGTCAGCTTTACAGTGGGTTAGAATAAATTCGCTCCAAGCCAAAAGTTCTGTTTAATTTAAATTTGTTGTTTTAGATATGTTATCTTTAATGGCATTGCCAGAGCTGCAGGAGAGACATTGTCTAAGAAAACTTATACACTCTTTGATAATGGCTGTTGTCACAAGGTGCACACACAATTTCTTTCATCTTCCACAAGAACAGATAACATTACATACACACAATAAGTTCCATTCAGAGTTTATATGGGGAGTATACATAGTCAGTATCTGTCAGGACAGTTGATATGGGCTTCAAAGGCTTTCCAGTACATACAAGAGAAATCCCCAGTACTGACAAGGGACAAACATCTGGCACACAGGGTGGCTTGGTTAAATCTTGTCTCAAGGTCAAGTCTTGGGTGGCAACTTGGGCTCACTTGAACTTGAGCTTCATGACCTAGGTTTCATCATTTGAACTGCACAAACTAGTTCATTAAGGGATAGCCTTACATTTATGATAATGTAATGATGTTAGTAACAAGGCCAATTAAAAAACTACAAAAAAGGGCAGAATGTAAAAACTCATCCATCCACATCTGCAGTCATTAAGATTGCCTTATGCATGCTTTTATTTTACCTGCAGTATTCATTTGTACTTAGTAACACATGCCTTGTTTTTCCATTGAACAGATCTACAGAGTTATTTACCATGTACTATCATTGTCCTGAAACCTTACCCAAATTCTGTGAAGTGTAAAACCACAGGAAGGATGCTGTGGCCTCATATGTCATACGTTTACATTCCAACAGTATGAGCTTCAGTGAACTTCAAAATCCAGTGGTTAGGTCAGGCTTTGACATTAAATCCACTCTGATAAGTGTATAGCTTTGTACAAAAATATTTGGAAATCTTATAGCAATGTTGAATTTTCCCAATTCAAAACAGTCCAACTTTGCAAAAACACAAAATTTGTCAAAACTACAGATCTATAATTTTTTCTTTGAACTGTTAAATGGTACATGTACATAACACACTGTTGCTCCAGTGAGCACACATTGTTTTGAGTCTCAGTAATTGTGTTGTACATTTCATTGGGACAAGAAATAATAAGGTTATATCACTGACATCTTGAAACTACTGACTAGGAAAACACATTTTGTTCCAGCACATTTTCCACATAGTCTGACTGTATTCAGGAGAATTGGGTTGACTCCATAGCCAGGAGGTCCAGGGGACTCTCATGTTTCTAAAACTATGATGAAACAGACATCTAGAACGCAGCAGGAGTACTTCTGATCAGAACATGATACAAACCATATTTCTTGACACACAGCACAAAAAATTCCATTGCAATTCCCTTGAAGTAATTTTTCCAAGATAAAAATCATTAATAAAAAGGATCAGACGAGACATATAAACAATCAATGATCTAGAGAAAAACAAGACTTTTTAATAGTTATGCATATTGTAGCATGATTTACAGCGAACTCCAGTTCCCTATGCCTGCAAATGATTGGACTGATTGATTGCATGAATGACAGCAAATGTTTATTATTTCTATGTCTTAGGTGAACTTGGGAGGCCGAAGGCCATGTTTACTATTGTGGGCCACTACGCATAGAATAAACAAAGCAAATAAATACTGACAGTAGTATCCAACCTTGATTGTTTAAGAGAAACAATGGCCTGAACAGGTGTGAAGTGATGGGATCATTCAGGTAAAGGGTTCTATTACTATTCCTAACAGTTCACAAGTTTAGACTACTTGAACACTGTTTAAATTAGTCAATTGAGCTCACAAGTGGCTGATACATGAAAAAAACATGAAAAGTATGGCTTGAACCATAAAATCTAAGAAAAAGAATGATAAAGTGAGTACATGATGAAACCAAACCTAAAGTCAGACCACCAGACTAGGTCATGTTTTCTTAGCCTATGACTCAAACAAGGTAACAGCAAATTTAACAATGTTTTGTAACAACACAGTGGAAATACTGAGACTGAGGAGTTAAGTTCCAGCCCATCTGCTTAGCCTGGTACAGAGCTGTAACCCTGACCTCTGTGGGCAATGACTGTTTAAATCACACTGGTTCAGGGTCTAACCAAATAAACCATTATTTTATTTCGGGGAACCCACCACATGTCAGCGACTCTAACGCTGAAGTTCAAGATTCAATCTATGTTTTCAGAGGAAGGGAAAGAGCATACTTTGTTTGCCAGTTTTAAACATGTGATAGATACTTTGTAAAGAGCAACCATCAACTTAGTGGTTCAATTCGGAATAAAAATTGTGCATACCAGTACTCTAACTAAAATCTGCTCAACTTAAATGTTTCCTGAGTGCTTTAAATATTTTTTTCTTGGATTCTATAAGTTTGCCTGGTTTGTATTTTCATACAGATAAAATAAAAACAAAAAAATAGTGAAGCTTACACCAATCATCCTTCCTCTCTGCTGACATGTGGAATTGTAGTTACTGACTGTAAAATTTCTACTGTCATTTACAAACTGCAATGTAAGTATCATGTGGCTGTTTACAACTACTTTCCCAGAACAACCATAAAGTCATACTTCATGAATTAAAATTGCACGCTAACATCTAGCATTTTGATGCTGACACTTGAGCTTGGCCCTGTGCTTAATTGTGAGCGTGGGGGGAGGATAAGACTTTTACAGGAAAGGTCTGCTCGGAACCAAGGGAAACATAACTGCCACCTGGGAAACTTCAAAAGTAACCAAAAAGGGCACAGCCATTCTTAAGGTCTAAGGGGGAGGGCCTGTGTCATAGCTGGCACTCCCAGGCAAACCCTACACATCTACAATCTTCAGAGACATCATAAGTCATTTTGGTGTCAGCATGCTTTAATCCATAGCCAAGATACAACAGCTGGATTTTTTCTGTTCAGAGCATGGTCTTTCACTCTTTGAATCATTTGCAAAGTGAAGTGATAGGATCAGTATCTTTCTGACTTCAAAGTTTAGCCTACACTTGGAGCATATTAAGTATGGTTAGTCAAGACCCTCTTACAAGCATCATACTGACCCTAATTGGAAACATAAGTAGAGGTAAATAATGCGTGACATGCTACAATGTCACGCAATTATGGGAAAACAATCTTGCAGATCAGAAACCACATATCTTCAAGGCCATGATAATTTAATGTGACCAAACCAATGAAATCCACAGGAGAGGGTTATCAAAGTCATCTCAGTCAAAAGTTGGCTTCAACCACTCTATAAATCCATAACTGCACTCTGACAAATTTGCAATGATAATGTTACTTGACTACCAGAAATGAAGTGAAGAAAGTCTCCCTTTGCTACAAGTGGGATATCACTCTAGATTCTGGTGCTAGAAAAGGTTGTTTTTGTAGGAGTTGGAGTGATGTTACGGTATGCATGTGACATCCTCGTTAATGGCACCATGCCACGGACACACTCCAGCAGATATAGCGTAAGCGGGAGCACTTACCACAACGGGATTCATCCGACTCATCCCGACAGTGTGCGATGCCGTCGCAGACCAGCCCCCGGGGGATACACTCGCCCGTGTCGCAGCGGAAGTCATCGTCTTCGCACGCCGGAGGAGGAGGTTGTGTTCCGCCTGGTCCCGCTACAACAACACAAACAACCCACAAGATGAGGTAAGGATAACCCATCGTCTATTAGCCTCATCACCTAGTTACAGAGCGTGGCAGCCTGGAATCTCGGTGGCAAGTTACCTCGATACCAGTTGGAGCAAATTAAAAACAACACTACTCTTGCCAAGAGGGTTGACTGTGCCAGTGATACAGGATCTGGGACACCTGAACACTGGGGCTCTGGAAGGGGGGGACAGGTAGGGTGGGGGAGGAATCTGAGGTATGCAGGTACACTAATGAGGGGAGACTTGGGCTATACCATGTTTCAGGGATTGTTGTTTTTAACAGCATAGCAGCTCATTGTGGCTCAAGGCAGAGCTGTAAGTGAGAAAACCACAATAACCCAGTTTACAAAAGGAAGTATCACATCAAAAACCTCAAGAGTTGGCAACGGGATACTCCTGTTATACAGTTGTGATCCTACCCCTTTGACTGGGTCAAGGGTGGACAATGTTGAACAAGAATTGCCCACTGCTCGTGTGTTTATGTTACTTGTGAAGTACACTGCTGCCATTTAAGGGCAGTGTAAGTCTTTACCTTCGGCTTTCTTTAAGACAAATCACCTAATCTCCAGGTGCTCCAACAACAGCCCACAGTTTTCATGGTTATTTAAGCAGGTAAGATGCGCTGCATGACCTGCTGGGTCTCACTTGGACCAGTTTGTGGTCTGTCTCATTTTGCCAATAGGAGTTAATTAATAAGAAAAATGTCTAATATAACACTATCTTTTAATAGAGAAGGAAGGCTGATAGCATTTCTATATGACGCTTGATATACATGTACATGTAGTGGTATTAATGGTACTAGGAATGAGTTGATAGCTACAAAGAATATGCTTTTGTGTTTTTAACAGAGATTTGTGGTCCTCTAACAGGTGTCAATAACAGAAGAAAATTTCTTGGGTAAGTCCTACATACCATGTAGGAGTCCCAACCCATCCAAAATTTTCTGAAAGAAGATTTCAAATTGGTAATTCATCTATTAGCTTAAAGGGTGCATTGTATGAATAGTCTGCTAGAATCCAGTCCAGACTTCTGTACTTTCCAGAGAAGCATTTTGTTTTTGTTTCCAGCAAATGTTTTGTGGATGGTCAAATTGACATACATTGTTTGGAAGTCGAGCATAGTAGGAGGTATTGACTCTACAAAGGATTAAAATGTGGGTTAGAACAGCTTTCACCATTGTTGACTTGTGTATTTTGGTAACCTTTCTCTGTTTCATCCTCAGAAAATGTCACTGCTTTTACTCTTCTACCAACACTTTGCTTTTTCACAAAGGATGGCACATTTCTCATGAGGATCACAGCAGGACAGAAGGTGTAGTAGACACATGTTTAGACTTACAAAAAAATCCTGTGCATGGACATACAGAGCTTGGAGGTCACAGGTGATTGGAAGTAAAAGCTGCCCTGACATCCTGACTCTTTAACTGTGTGCATGTCCTTCTATCACCACTCAAGCTAAAAAAAAAGAGCAGTCTAAACGTTAAAAAAAATATTTCTCTCTATTTTTCCTTGAAATGTGATGTTTTTCACAACACAAGATGTCTGTAAAAAACATCAACATTCTTCTCAACCTGCATTTCTGTCGTTTGAAAGGGCAAGGTTGTTAACACAAAACTTGTATCTCTTGGCAAAGAAAAGAAAAACCAAACATCTGAAACAGCAAATGGCATGTCCCCATTCCTGACATGTACAAATGTACATAGCAAAGCAAACATTAGACAACTGATAGAAGCCTGGAAAACTTTCAAGTATTTCAACACTTAGGCAGAAAAGAGTCAGAAACAACTGCATTTGTTAAAGTTGGTTCCACTGGGAGAGATGATATCCAGTAATTAACAGAGCATGTCTGATTAACATAATTCCCTCCTGATCAAACTGATAAAGCTGAGCTCCTTTTTCAGGATTATTCCATTTGAAAAGCTGGAGGGGAGCTTGGTCTAAAGAAGAACAGGGAATTGTGTGGCAAGTTTGATTAGAGTATTTTGATAAGGATTACATGCATCATGATTGGATGATGCTCGGGTTACAAAATACTGAAGGTAAAAACACTGGGGAAAGAACAGGGGGAAAAGAAAGTCAGATTAAAAGGTTGTTGCAACTTAGGAACTGTTCCATAAAAAATTTTTTTCTGCACTTTAGGGTATATACTGTACTTAAGGTATCAGTTTAAAAAGCATTAAATCCAGAGTACTGCAACTCCCCAAAATAGCCTCACTGCCAACAGTACAAGTACAACAGTGTGTGGGCGTATACCCACAGTGTCATGTTTTTTTAGGAAGGGGGTTGAAAGGTACTGATTTTGCGACACTTAAAGCTGATAGAAAGTTTTCAGTCTTGATGTTAGGATAAAAGAAGACTTAATATACCAAGTCTTAGAGTTGTGAATTCAGCTGCCAGTTGCCAATTTCTCAGATCAGATTTATGCTGTGGCTTTTGTTAGGTAGGGCAAGGATCATGCAAGTAGCTGATACTGGTATTCGATCTGTCAAAAGCCCTGATGGAAATATCATCATCATCATATCAGCGATGACAACAGATAACCTATTGGACAGCCAAATGTTGTTTCTACGCCAAAAGTTTGTGATTCTAAGTAATTTCCTTGGAAATTCCGCCAGGAAGGCGAGGATTCCCACAATGCCTCAGTGACAGGATGATGTACAGGAATGTTGACTCAAAGGTGACCTTGAAAAGCCTTGACAAAACCCACATGGTGTTCTCTGTTTCACCTTATTGTATACTACTAGTGCTTCTCTGTTACCCACTCACAATCTAGTGCATTAGATGTAAAATGTATCAAGCTTTTCCCTGCCTCCTGACACTTAGACCAAAAGAAGAGTGGTGCTACATGTATAAGGCTGTCTTAATAATTGGCATATAAATATTGAAAGCTTCTGCTACACGCTTGTTACATCACATTACCTTTGACCATCCAGCACAATTCATGATTAAAAGTAAACCCTTTAGTGGCATTGTCACAAACATGTACTTGGACATACATGTAACAGTTGCACAAATTTACCAGCACGATATACAACAGCAATTTTGTATACAATAATAATAATTACAAGCTGGAAAAAAATACAAAATTCATGTGCCAAGTGTGATATGCAGACCCGCCCACTTTCTGAACTGACAAAAACCATCTGTCTGAAAGCTTACTTCAACTTCAACTAGCAGAACGTTTCAATAACCAAATTAGTAACATATATCTATACCTGATACTAGTACATGACATCATTATCTGGACATAATCACTCATGTCAGATCAGGGTTATCTTTAAATTACCCCTGGTTTGAGCTGGAGACTCTTTAGATCAAAGGTCAATCCTAAACCTTTTGCCATTTGTCGGGCTGCAGAACTTCTGTGTATGATCATGACTGGAGGTTGTTGAAATTTTTATGCTAAAGGTCTATATATGCATACATGTATGGTATTAACATCTTCCAGATGTGTAGTTGTTGGTTGTAAGCAAATGGGCAATGCCCCCTGGCACGAAACTACATTTTTGCAATGGAGTATGTCCTTGCCTAACTCATGAATATTTGACTTCTTTGCATAATGACAGAATCTTGAAGTTTACTTTGGGACTTTTGACATGCCAGCTGGTTTAATCCTTAGTTTCCTCGATGAGTAATTCTAATCGTCATGGCATGAAAGCATTTAATCATCTATTATTAAAGGTACAATAAGAAGGTTCATTTTTCCAATGAATTAATATACAGAATCAGTATGGGGATGCTGTTGCCTTAGCTTGGTAACATATTTGACCCACAGTGGGTAAGAGATTCATTGTTTAGGGTCTGGTTGTCGGAGCTTGACGTTGACCAAAGGCATGAAAAGGCAGATGGGCTGGAAGTGAGCAGTGGAAAGCAGAAATATGTCCCTAACATGTTCTCACCAAACCGCCCCATTCCTGAACTATCCTAGTTTCCCCCGGGAGGTCAAAAGTCAGGACCTTGGTCTCACAGAGGAGGAGAAAGCAGAAATCTGGATGCCACACTGACATCAGGCAGCAGGCCTTAAACAAGCAAACCTGGGGAAACTCTTCACATCAACTCTGGAATAGGGGTGACCACAAATTTTATAATGATTCATCCCCCTGAAATAGCTTTTAAGGATCAAAACAGCTTTTGAAGGAGTTCAGATCTACTGATAGCATGTTAAGTCATGTTTTGGTACTTTGCCATAAAGAGAGAAAGTTGGCACAGTTATTGTCTATTTTTATAACTGCACAAAATCCAGACATTTGTTGAATATTTTACTGAAACAAACCTGTTCTTGGTTTACTGGATTAGGAGATTAACGTTCAAATCTTTACAGGATTTGTTTTGAGACATATGAATTATTTTTCCCTTTTGAAAGCTGCAGGGGACCAAGCATTCCAAGTCATGTTTATCACCAGTCCTTGACCTGCCAGGTGCCACCTGTCTACCAGATGACACACTTTTCCCAGGACCTGGCAGAGCAAAGAACAGACAGTGGCTTAATCTTGTGGAGATCCACATGTACCCCACCTAGCAGGTCTCGATGGTACTACATGCAATGTTGTCAACCATCTGTACTTGGATCAACTTTTTGCAATGAATCTTTGGAAAACATTTCACTTCCTAGAACAGTAGTTGATTCAAGGTGGACAGAAAATCTGGTTGGAAGGGATTGTGAACTACTGCCATGTTAACCATTAGCACACTGAAATACACCATTGCTGCCTTTTGTCTATCAATTCTCTTTTGGTTACAGAGTTAAGCAGTAGGAATAAGGTTAATGTAAGGATCAGGAAATGCTTCATGGGTCATACCTCTGACAGGGTAGAATTCAAATCCTTCGGAATCAACAGCATAGTAGTCGAGGTAGCCACTGTTCACAGCATTGTTGATGATGTTGAAGAGTTGAACCTCGTTGTCGTTTCCAAGGGAGCCGAGGTCGAGCGTGACAAACACAGACTCTCCAAACAATCTTGGCAAAGACAAAACAATAATTATAAGTCAGAACAAAGCGATGATAAGGTAGAAATATGGCATATCTCAAAATAAAAAGCAAAGCCACTATAAGACATCATTTTCTTATTTTTGTAGTGGCAGGTTAAATGTTTTTTTATTTATCAAAAAATAACATTACTCCAACTAGTACTACTGGTAACTACATTGTACATGCGACACGTTATTTGTGCAGTGCCCATTAATAGCTATACAGTGAGTCATTTACACAGTCATAACAGTGTAACACCAAATGAGACTCCAGCATGCAATGGAGCTCAGTGTGGCCAAGACTAAGTGTCAAAACAGCAGCGAAAGTAGTAAACTTGCATTGGAAGGTTGGGAATAATTTGCAGAAATGGCTTAATGACTATGCTGTTAACCATAAGTTATTGAATTTTACAATTCTAAATCATATGCTTGCGTCAAAATCATCAAAACGTTTTTAATTCCTGTTCTGGTAGTTACAAATGGAAAATTGTATTTGAGTGCCATCTCTCAAAATATTCCCAATTTCCCATAGAAAAGCAAGCAGTAGCCTGAGCAGAATCACACAACCAGAAGTTGGTCTACAGCCTTACCCTGGACTCTGTTCCCGACTGCAGAGACATGAAGAAGATAGAAGGTTTCACAACACACAACAGTACGTAGAGAAGGGAAGAGGATAACAGGACAATGAAAGACACGTCAGAATCGTAGTCATGCAGCACACAAGAGTACACTGTATGTATGGTCTAGATTTAAGCACACATATCAAGTCAGACACCAGTCAGATGTATTTATAACATGCCATCAGAGTTACAAGTCTTTAATGGTAAACTTTAAAGTCCAGCAGTATAGAGAAAGACAATCTTTGTAGAAGATGACATCAGTAAGTCAGGAAACAACACAATAGTCAAAGATACAGTACTTGTACGTAACTTGTGATGCACGTCATATTATTCGTCAAACTGAATTTTTCTGTAATAATGTATTTACAGGTACATTGTACTATGATGTGGATTTTGATATATTGGGAACAAGATGACCACCTAAAATAACCAGATTCATACACAGATTGATAGCTTATACCAAGAACTGAAAAAGTTTCAAAAGCACTGCATGCCTAGCTGTAAACTGTTAACAAAGTAGGAATGAGAGACATCTGGTGGTTCCTACCTGTACTGCACCACAGTGGCTTCCTGCTCTCCTGGTATTCCATAATACAACCTGTCGATCTGTAACAGACATGTAGCATGGCATGTTGCAACAGTTTTAGAACTTTGAACTTCAAATCATCATGCACCACTTCCTTCATTTTTGTGTTATTGCTTTCAGTGGAAAAACTTTGCAAAGAAGCATACAAATTTACTTGTATGTGCACTTGAATGCATACATACATGTATGTAGCTGGTGCAATGTGAATGCTATAGATGTATGGCATGCAAACTTCTATACCACTTTATGGAAATCAACTACATGCATATCGCCCATATGGGTAAGTAGCAGGTGCAATATGAAGTAGTTTTTGACTTACGGCATACTGTATAGCACTTGAGAGTGTCTGGTGTTCTGGGTTTCTGTAACTCTCGAGAGCTTCGCTGTACTGGATGGATTTGGTGAAGTTGATCTTCACTCTGTAATATTCTGGAAGACATAAATGAAAAATCTTGTGTCAATCATGAAGTTCTGCCTCAACATGTTTACATTGCCTCTTCAGCATAGAGTTTCTGAAAGGAACGATGACTAATGCATCAATTTGCTTATTTTTTCCACGCAATTAGCCTTGCTGACAAAAATAATACAAGTCAGTTCCACCATGAAATGTCACACAACTTCAAGCACTGATGCATTCTTTCTGCCTGATTGAATGTCATTGACATTCAAAACCACAACACAAAACTGATCTACCGGTATTCAAAGATGGAGACAACAAATGAATGGCTGCCCAGGGGAAGTGGACACATCTTTAGGGAGGAAGTGTTTTGTCTGTTTCCCAGGAAGTCAGTGATTTCTCACCTGTCAAGGTTACTACTGTAGTGGGAGACCAAAGAAAATAATGTACACTGATGTAAACGCTCTCACCACAATACATGCATACATGTATGTCAGACCAAGGACCTTGGTCAGACTCAGATAGAGAATATGTTACCCTTATTAGCATAATGCTATGTTTCACTCTCACAAAAGATAAATTAAATGATAAACATTAAGCATACAAATTATTACAATGTAGATGGTTTCCAGGGTTGAGAGTTTATGGCATATTATGCTACTAATGAATGAATGAACTTTATTGCTTAACAATCATATGCCAGACAATTGTGTGGCAGTGAAAAAAATATATCATGCTATGCTATGATGACAAGTCATATGATGGGTATGAGTCATATGGATTTAGAGTTATGCTAGGAATCCCTCCCAGAGGATGTGGGGAAGGTCATGAAACCAACGTTTTGGCCATAAATAATAAAAATACATTACAAAAATACCCTTTCCCCCTTATGCCAACCCACAATGTGATCTCCCACATGATATTGCTAACCTACATATTCCTGACAAGGAAAAACAATCAACCTTCCAGGCTAAGTCACTTTCCCAGGTGCTTCACCCCAAACATGACCTGTAACCTGAGTCAACCCACCCTTGCCTTTGTACTACAGACTCACTTACCATGACATTATGTATGACTGGATTAGGTCAACACTCACTCTCTATACAGTATACAGGTCTTGGAAGGGAAAGGTGTTTTGCATTTTACATGTTTGTACATGTAACAAATGCGATATTTCACAAGCTTGTACCTTCTTATCAGTTGGGCTTGCAATTTCTCACATGGGCTTGCAATTTCTGCACGATAGATAAAGTAACAAGGGACATTTCATTTTTGTGTTCGGTGTTAAGGGCCAAAGTATGTTTTCCTCTCTCAACCACATTATTCACAGGACACATTCTTACTTAAATATAATATAGCCCAACAGTTGTTCATACACATTTTGTACTATATAGATGTACATTGTATTTCGTTTAAAACATAACCTCAGTTAGGTGTGAAAATCCTTTTGAACATACAGGTGTTCCAGGTGCGCTACAGCTGACTGCCCACAGACCCTAACTCAGCCTACTCGAGTGTACCAGCCTCTTCTGTATAAACATTTGTAACTGTGAGCCAGCCAAGGGCACAGCCAACCAACCACAAATACTGGAAGATCCCAGTGACTTCTATCAGCAGGTTGCATGCGCTCTGGGGGCAGGTTTTGTCGGATTAGCGGTTTCCTTACTACTGCTCACTGGGTAAAAACTGCTTTAAACTTAATATTCTCCATCCGGAAGGACAGATAAGACCTCCTTATCAAGGTGTACAGACGGTGTCTTGGGGTGTTGTTTTATTCACATTCAGTGTCAAGTGATTATTACATTTAGGTAATCTATTTGCCCCCATTTCTGAACATAATTAGGTTTATATAATCAAACAAACAGCCATAATCTTATTCTGAAGGCTTTCGTTCTATATACAATGTATATCGATGACATACCAGGTATTTTCACATGTGATGAGTCAATTGAATCCTGTTCTACATGTACATGGACAGTTAAAAGGCGCATAGGTCAATTTCAAATTTAGATCACATAGACTTGGGAAAAATTGTATGTCATAGAAGGTGACTGAACAAAATATAGTTGCCTGAAGGAACAATTGACTACATATTATTTCAATTGTAAACTTCTAGGCGTTAAGCACTTTTTTTTACAGGAATTCAGCTTTAGAGAGCTTACTATAGCTGATGTGTTTCCTTTGTACAAAGAAGGAATTTGCCTTGCCAGGATCTGCTATGTTTAAAGAGCTCTTGCTGACAAGAAAATGAATGCCATTGGCATTTCAGGTGACTGTAATGATGTGTGGGGAAAAACAATTTACCTGCCCATGACAACAGAGAGTCTGCAACCAGGCATTCAAATCCCACAGGCATCTTCTGATGGCCCACACTGGGTCAAAGGTTAGCAGGGAATACTCCCAACAGGACTGTGGCTGCTGTAGAATGGGGCCAGCATTACTGGGTGGTGATTGGCAAAGACAAAACATTTGCCAAAAGAAGTCACTGGGACACTTTAATCATGTTAGACATGTTAACTGTCTAACCTTTTAAAGGGAGTCGGTCTGGGTGAGGGCTGATGCCTTTGAGATAACAACTCAAGGTCTATGATATTGACATGAAAACCTTTGCTTATTTTAGCCTTAATGGATATAATCTTTAATCTTTACTTCATACATGTATTTTCAACACTATAGAAAATCAATATACTAAGACAGTCATTTGTGTGTGTTTTATAATTTCTCAAATCATGATGAAATGCATAATATGTATTATGATTTATTTTGGCTTTCCTGGTGATTTATGAATCATTTGCCACACCTGAAGGTACTTCTAAGTACAGTCCACAACTACAGTTACAATACCGTACAATACACAGTGTACTAAGTAATTAATTTGCAAAATTTAACCACCTGCTACAAAATGCATTGATATCACATCTGAATCAGACATTGTATATTTGGATTTCAAAATAATCTCTGAAGATCTGAACAGATATATCTTGAAATATAAGTCACCTTAAGCTTTACATCTCAATCGTGCAAAATAATTTCAAGATGTTTGTTACAGTTAATGGTACAGTAAGACTGGATACTGCCACCCCCACAAGCCCAGTAGATTTCCTCTCTGACTCACTTCTCCTAGTCCTAGGAGCCAGACCTAACAGATGTGTCTACAACACTTACAAGGAACAGGCTCCATCTGTCTCTAGCCCCACTTATCGTTTATTATGACAAATATATCTTTGTCTATCTCCAAGTCTATTGACTCCTCACTAGCCAATCATGCTAGTAGAGAACATGTGGCTGTGAAGGCTTAGTCTCCTCTTGTCACTTCAAGATCAGAAGGCCGTGTGTCTGCCTTGCCAGTCTTGGTAAGAATCTTCAGCCTTTGGAAAACTAGGGCAGTGAGCCAATGCTCCACAGCACAGGTAAATAGGGGGATAGAGTTTCTTCCAGCAGACCAGAACAAATGGAAGACATTTTCTGCATAAGCACTGTGAGTCCTCTACCACGAAATTGGTTAAATGGGCTCAGCATTTCAAAACAGGGCGGGACAATTACATCACTAGTAAGGATGGAAGGTAGGAAAAGGAGAGTTAGAACAAATGACAAACTTATCCTAATCTAATCTAAATACCTAAACCTATTATTCAATGAGGAACTTACCCTGCTATTTTTCTATTTCTAAGTTGTTATAAACGGTATTCATACAAATATTCTATTATATTGTTTCTTTTTGTCATGTATTGGATTTTACATGCTAGAGAAATTAATTTGTTCTGTGAAAGAAATTGGTGGTACTCCTGTTGAAAGCCAGCTTACATAAGAATGGCAACTCTTTGTAGAACATGTTTTGTGTAAAACAGCCAAAAGGTCACATTTTTTGTTCTGGATCAGGCTTACCAAAGGCTTTAGGTGTGAGGCACTACATTTCTGTCTTTCAACAACTCATGAAAGAGATCCGGTCACAATTAAATGCCTTCCTGATCGACCTGCATCTTAGACTCAAAATACTCATAACTAAAAAATATCATAGGATTGTGATACATAGTATCTCATAACGTTTCCGCATTGTGAAGAGACAAGACTTGATAAAATGCCAGGCAGGGATTTACCTCCAGATTTGAAACCTCTGGGGTCTTAATCAACCACAGTACATTCCCTAAAGACTCAACTAACCCACACCCAACAATGGCCTCACTGTGTCCAATGTTATTCTTCTCAAGTCAACTTACATACATGATAAAATGGAATAATCTCAAACATGTGTAGAAAGCCTATGTTTAGTATGTGACATTGCTCTGATCCATCAACTTGGTAAGAGGCTGCTTCCCTACCGAGCTTTGCCTTTCAAGAGGACTCAAGGTCAGCGGCCTCCTTCTGGAGCTATGGCTAAGACAGGGAGGCAAGGAATACTTCCGACATTCTACCACAGAAAACAGCCACTGAGTTGGAAAGGAATGTTACCCTTGAGTTTAGTGTTGCAGCTGGAAGAATAGATGTACTTACTAAACAATGAGCCATGTTGTGATACCGATTCAGGTGTTGGACTGTCCAGGGTAGGAAGTCCTGTTGTCGTTAGTTCTTGAGGTGTCTCCCGAAGATCCACAGGTCTTGTGAAGTCCTCAAACGTCTCGTTAAATTCCCAGGGAACAGTGGCATTGGGAGGAGCATCCAGCGTACAAGTAAAGAGATAGCAGACAAGGAAACTGAACGGCATTGCTCCAAGTTTACGTGTAGCTCACCACAGTACCTTGGAAGAATTGTTAGCCAATGAGGTAGTAGTTTTCACTGCGTGGGCATCAGCTCATCCGTCTACACCCGGACTTGAGCAGAAGTGGGTCAGTTATTGAATATGCCAATCAGCAAACAAACCGCAGGGCCCGGGGCTCAAGTCTGCCACAAGCTTGTCCAACCTTGGAGACCTTCAACCACACTGCCTGGAGAGGTGCATGTGGTGCTTGAACTGCCCCCAAGTAACTTCAGCTTGGCTGGGTCGTCCCAAATTGATTTACGCAGGGGGTAGCTCAACCATAGACGGATAAGGGTA